TAAGGCTCAAGAATAACCCTTTTAGGTTCAGTGGTCAATGCTCTGCCCTCTGGCCCTATTGGAGTATGGAGGTCATGTGTTTTCCCTGGCCTTCCCAATCCCCCATGCTCCAGGCTGTCACTCTTGAGCCTCTGAACTGTTGAATCTGAGGCAATTCCTCCTAGAAGGAGATGATCTCTGAATCACCTTTGCAACCATTGTTTTGTTGTTGTTAATCCTTACCCGAGGATATTTTTACCATTGACTTTTTTTAGAGAGTGGAAGGGAGGGAGAGGGAAGAGAGAGACATTGATGTGAGAGAGACAAAGTAATCGGTTGCCTCCCCTACGTACCCGACTGGGGCAGGGGATCAAATCAATCAGCCCGGTATGTGCCCCTGACCCCTGACCCCTGACTGGGAATGGAACCCATGACCCTTTTGTGCATGGGTCGACACTCTAACCATTGAGTAACACTGGCCAGGGCTGGAGTCATTATTTCCTTTTCTTGAAAATAGTGCACATTCACAGCCAAAATAGCTCTATGGTCCAGTGCTATAGGACCTAAGAATTCCTAGCAACCCCTTACCTGTAGCACTTGGTATGGAGCATCGGACAGTTCCACAAGGCTTGTTTTCAGATATACAACAGTCTTCTGCTCTCTTATACCATTTTCTTCATCTTCAGAGGTAACTAATTTATATTTTAGCAGATTCTTTTGAAGTTTGCCTCCATAATCTAACATGCTTATATTACTGCTTCTTGCCTTTTCAGTATTGGACACTAGTCATTGACATCACTATTAGAGGAGGATTCTTTTTGGAAAGACTGTGGCAAGAAGTTTAGTGTGACTGAAAGGATAATTGAGTGCAGGGAGGGTATTGCAGTAGCTCACTGAAGGAAGAGGTATTGAGCTTTTGTTTTTAAATTGAGGAGTAACATACATTTAGTTAAGTGCATAAAATGTGCTAGCTGTACAACTCCATGATTTCTTACCTGTATGTATACTGTGTCTCCAATGCCTCCCTCAAGATGTAGGACATTCCCAGTCTCTTTAAAATTCCCTGGTGCCCCACAAGAAAATTTTGAATTAAGGCATGAAAATTCATTACTAGTTCTAGGTGAAAGCCAGAAGATAAGGTGGAGCTAAAGATGACTCCAAACTTGGGAGACTGGGTTGACTGGATGGTGATTCTGTCGACTAGGTAGGTAATATAGGAGGAGAGGAGGGTCAGGTTTGAATTGAGGGAGGAGTTAATATGGTGAGATGTTGATTTGGGCACATCTAAGTGGAGCTAGATAGGAGGCAGGTGGAAATGTAAATTTAGAGTTTTGCGGGGTGGGGGGTTTGGGGATTGAAATGTAGATTTGCACTTACTTATCAGCATGTCAAGTCCTTTCGAGATCTTAACAAGTAGATGAGAATTCTCTAGAGCAGTGGTTCTCAGCCTTCCTAATGCTGCGACCCTTTAATACAGTTCTTCATGTTGTGGTGACCCCCAACTATAAAATTATTTTCGTTGCTACTTCATAACTGTAATTTTGCTACTGTTATGAATTGTAATGTAAATATCTGATGTGCAGGAGGTTTTTTCATTGTTACAAATTGAACATAAAGCATAGTTGATTAATCACAAAAACAATATGTAATTATATATGTGTTTTCCGATGGTCTTCGGTGACCCCTGTGAAAGGGTCGTTGGACCCGCAAAGGGGTCGCGACCCACAGGTTGAGAACTGCTGCCCTAGAGAGTCTGTAGACTGAGCTGACCTAAAGTTAGGATGAGAAGTGTATGTTGCTTTTATTAACTTCGTTTTAGTCCAAATAGTGAATAAAATCAGTGAGAAAATTGAGTTTAAACATTTAAAAAATAAAACGATAAACAAAAATTCAATAATATAGAGTCTTAGAAATAAAAAGTAAATTGGTTCAGAGGGTTATAAGTAGGAAGTATGCTTCCTTCCCCCATTCCTCTCCCCATTCCAGTTTCTTGTATCTCCTTCCAGATGATTTTAGTGCATATTAAGTTTATGGTTTTATCTTTTGATTATACGTCACCCCATTATTGCTTTGGTTGGGAGTGTCTTTCCAGTGACTTAAAAGTATGGTTGGTAGCTTATAGGCATGTGACCAAAATGGAAGCTAGCAATCTACCAGATACAGAGTTCAAAACACTGGTTATAGGGATGCTCAATGAACTTAGGGGAAGAGTAGATGAACTCAGAGAGAACTTACAGAGAGAAACCATAAACAACAACAATCAGAAATGAAAGATATAATAACTGAAATGAAGACGACTTAGATGGACTCAGCAGCAGATTCAGTGACGCAGAAGAGTGACCTGTGTTTTTGACTGAGGCCACATTCCAAAAGTTCTTTCAGAGTTGAATCTCAATTCCTTCAAATGCATTTCATTTTAAAAGGGGCTGCGATAGAATCACATAGTATTTAAAAGCAAACTAATGGTTTAACTTCCTCCTTCCTAGACAGTGCAACCATCTGTTTACATTTACTTAGTCCTGCTGGTTTGGGTGTATCTCAAATCCAGGTGGATATCTTTTAAAGAGATAGCCACAGCATTCCTGACATATAAATCTGCCACACATATTTTAGACTTAGGCGCTCTGAAAATTGCCTCACATTTTACTTTTTTGTTCAATTGAGAGAAAATAGTTGAAACAATTTTAGAGTTCAGAAGAGTTGGGTATTGGTATGACAATATTTTTAAATGTAGTTTTTTAAAGAGATGATCAGAATGTTATTTTTCTTGTGTTTTGATTGCTTTTGATTTTGTTTTGTTTAGCTTATTAGCTTATGTGTTATATTGTTAATTTTAAAATAATTTTCTATCTTCAGATAATGGCTCATTGCTAGCTATTCTCTTCTAAACATATTACAACCTTACTTCTGCATAAAAACTTTAAGTATTAAATATTGACACAATCTCTTGGAGAAGAGATTGATGAAGACTTAAACCAGTTTTACGAATAGTTTTCCTAAGTTCTTTGGGCAGTCAAATTGAATCAGAACCAATAGATCCCATGTATTATGCCTATCTGAATGTCTTTTCTTTGTCAAATACAGCTATTTTTTCCCAAACTGTTCTAACTTGCAGCATTCAAGTAACTTTCTCAAACTAACATTATCAGGATACAATATTCTAAACCATATTTAGCCCAGGGGTATGCATATATTAATTTCTGTAGTTTTGTAAATTTTTATTAATTTGTTCTTATTAGTTTACATCGGATATCTGATCAGGTTGCCTGAGAGGGCAAAAATCTTTTCTTCCTTTGGGACTTTTTATAACTCTAGCTCAGAGCTCACTTGAAAAATATGCTCCTGCCTGGTGGTGTGCTTCAGTGATTGATCTTCGACCTATGAACCAGGAGGTCAGGGCTCGATTCTTGGTCAGGGCACATACCCAGGTTGTGAGCTTGATCCCCAGTGTGGGGTGTGCAGGAGGCAGCTGATCAATGAATCTCTCTCATCATTGATATCTCTCTCTCTCTCTCTCTCTCTCTCTCTCTCTCTCTCTCTCTTTCTCTCTCCCTCTCCCCCTCCCCCTCCCACTCCCTTTCCTCCCTCTCTGAAATTAAAAAAAAATGCTCCTGGTAAATTCTGATTGACTGTCCTCACTGTTCTCAGTTGTTTCAAGTAAGATTAACATTAACACACAAAATACTCTAGTGGGCCCTGGCCAGGTAGCTCAGTTGGTTAGAGCCTCATTCCGATTCACCAAGGTTGCAGGTTCAGTCTCTGGTCAGGTCACATACAAGAAGCAACCAGTAAATGCATAAATAAGCAGAACAACAAATCAATGGTTTTTTCTCTCTTTCCAAAATCAATAAATTTTTAGAAAATGCTTTGTGGATTTTTTCTGTAAAATAAGATTTCCATTAAAATTGACCAAAAAGGCTCTAACTGGTTTGGCTCAGTGGATAGAGCATCGTCCTGTGGACTGAAGGGTCCCAGATTCGATTCTGGTCAAGAGCATGTACCTGGGTTGCAGGCACATCCCCAGTAGGGGATGTGCAGGAGGCAGATGATCAATGTTTCTCTCTCATTGATGTTTCTAACTCTCTATCCCTCTCCCTTCATCTCTGTAAAAAAATCAATAAAAAATATATATATTTTAAAAATTGACCAAAAAGTAAAAAGCTTTAGGTTATGATATCAAAAGTATGGTGGTTTGGTATCTGTATATTAAAACTCAGGTACCCCAAAGAATGTATGAAGCCAGGGATAATCTTGCAGCATTTAAATGGACACTTAGATGGAGGGGCAGAATGATTTCATTCACAGTTACTGATTGCTGTATGCCTTGCATTGGATTTCACTTTCTCCTTTTATACAATGCTGAATCACTCACAAAAGTAAGCATTGTGTGTGTTTTCACAGGGGCCTAATGTTGATGTTTGGAATACTGTGATTGAGTGGCTTTAAGGACATAGAGCAGTAAAACATTTACAAATATTTTATTCTAAAACTGAATTTACTTTTGATCACTTTATTTATTAGCTAATACACTATTTTTCAGGATAGGCTTTCTCTGTTGATTTATATTTCTGTGTGCTTTTTTATTTTTTTCAATTATGGTTTACATTCAATGTTATTTTGTATTAGTTTTAGGTATAGTGGTTAGACAGTCACATACTTTACAAAGTGTTCCCCCCGATATTTCTTGTTTTCTTTATTAGAACAAAGGAAATTATGTATTCTCCAACCATAGTATTTTAGGATCTATTTCATGAAATCAAATAATGAGAGAAAAGAGTCAGGCATTGTTCTTAGGCAGTCCCTCTCCCTCTGTTTTTTTGTTTGCTGTTCATCTGAATTATGTGTAACTTAACTTCTGTTGAAAAATAATGATGCCCTATTTAGATCTTAGTGGGTTTTTTAAACTATAACTTAGGGAATTCCAAAGGTATAGTTATACAGATCTGTGAAGACTACTTAGATTTTTAAGTAGAAATCTTCCTTAGTGTTATTGAAGTAAACATTTTAAATCTCTCTTTCAGGTCCATCATGTTACACAAAATGGAGGACTGTATAAAAAACCGTTTAACGAAGCTTTTGAAGAAACACCAATGCTGGTTGCTGTGCTTACTTATGTGGGGTATGGTGTACTCACCCTCTTTGGATACCTTCGAGATTTCTTGAGGTATTGGAGAATTGAAAAGTGTCACTATGCAACAGAAAGAGAAGAACAAAAGGTAATTGTTAGAGAATCTTTAATTCTGTGAATGGAAGCCTTTTATAGAAATCTTGGTATTTTCTTTTTTTTAATTTTTTTTTATTGATTTCAGAGAGGAAGGGAGAGGGAGAGAGAGATAGAAATATCAATGATGAGAGAGAATCAGTGATCAGCTGCCTCCTGCACATCCCCTACTGGGGATCGAGCCCACAACCCACGTATGTGCCCTTGACTGGAATCGAACCCAGGACCCTTCAGTCCACAGGCTGGTTGCTCTGTCCACTGAGCCAAACCAGCTAGGACAAAATCTTGGTATTTTCACTCAGTTTTTTCTTTAGATATTTTGGTACACATTAAAATAAAAATATTCCAGATGCAGTTAAACTTTCCACAAAGAAAGTTGGAAACAAGGTTAAAGGCATGAAGAAACTAAAGAACTTAACTTTTCTTGCCCTAGCTGGTTTGGCTCAGTGGATAGAGCATTGGTCAAAGGCACATGCCCGGGTTGCGGCCTCAGTCCCCAGTAGGGGGTGTGCAGGAGGCAGCCAATCAATGATTCTCTCTTACCATTGATGTTTCTATCTCTCCCTCTCCTTTCCTCTCTGAAATCAATAAAATATATATATATTAAAAAAAAAAAAAGAACTTTACTTTCTTTTCAGTCCTCATCGAGGATATGTTTTTTTCATTGATTCTAGAGAGAGAGGAAGAGAGAGAGAGAAACATTTAATATGAGAGAGAAACATTGAGCCTTTGCCTCCGATACACGCCACAACTTGGGATCAAACCTGAAACCCGGGTATGTGCCCAAGTTAATGTTTCCTAAGGAGCTTAGTTTCAGAACTGGTATGCAGACACAGGTTGGTGAAGAGCCGAAAGCCATGTTCTTTCTATTCACAATACCATATTGTATCCCAAGTTGTGTCCACAGTCATCTGAAAAGATTTTGTTCTATAGAACTTGGGATGTGTTTTCTCATAGACACATTATACATAAATGTCTGGTTCACAAATCAGGTCCTGTCCCCAAACAAATAAGCCCTAAAGCAGAATGGCTGTTTATAGTAGAAACCACCTTATGTTAGTAATGGTAAACAGAAGTGATAATGTCTCTGGGGAGGAGGATCTAATTCACTTCCCTTTTCTCTGTATACTCCTTTGCCTCTCTAGAGTTTTGTACAATAAACACACATTACTTATTCTCAAAAAGAAATAAAGTTAGAGTGAAATGCCTGATTTTACAAAAAAGAAACTTGTTCTTGGCAGGTGAAGTATGGAGAGGTTGTCCTGCAGCCCAGGGAGTGTACTAGATTAGAGAAGGGATTCAGAAGTTAGACTCTTGTTGTCCCTCACTTTTGTGGGTGTAGAGGAGAGAGATGTAAATGGCAGCAAGGTCACCACTGAGAGAGGAGCCAGGAAACACTGGGAATGTATTGTGAGGGCATCCGGAAACATGAGAGAGGAAAAGGTTCTTTCTGGAACTAGGAAGTCAAAGCCAGTCAGGATTGAAGATTCTGGCCCTGGGGAAAAGGGTCCAGGCATTCTTTGTCATCTCAACCATTCTGCATCCTTCCCAGCTCAAGCACCATAAGTTGGCCATCTTACTCTTTGCCCTGAGATCCCTACAAGTTAATTTCATTAAAAAGGTATTTCTTAAATACCTAATGCAAACAAAGCCCTGCATTCAGAACTTGATCCAGTTGGCCAAACTAATTTTCATAATTGAAAACCAGAACAAATTAAAATTTTCTTTACCATTTTTTTTGACCCCTGTATGTCTCAAATAGACTTTCTAGCTAACATGCATCCATGGTATGTTGATTTTTTTTTTTTTTTACATCCCTCAGGTATGGCTTACTTACCATAACTTACAGCTTACTATACACTTACTGTATAGTGTGGTATTGCAATTACTTGTTCACAGGCAATCTTTTCCTACTAGACTGAGTTGATGGCAGTTATGACTGGATGGGAGCTAAAGTTTTATCACATATTCAGACTAGAAAATCTTTATCTACGAGGACCCCCCATAGTGTCAACATACTGTAGAGACCTAATAAATGACAGGTAGAGGTGGAGATGGGATGAGCTGATTATGGTATAGAGAGGAAAGTATAGGTAAAGGCATGAGCAGTGTTTGGAACCAGTGTTTGGGTGTATGAAAAATTGTGTTTTGAATGTAAACTAAGAAGTTTGGTAGGCACTGAGGAGTCCTGGGCAGTTTTTGAGCAGGAGAATGACAATAGAGTTTGCACAGCTGGTGCTCTGTCAAGCATGATGAATGGAAGGGACAGAGGGAGGGGATTCATCTGAATTACTTGGTGAATAAGTATAGTATCTTTGGAACTTGTTTCATGTTTCAGGGTAAATTGTTTAAGTATTGGGGCTATCTGTGTGAAAGAATTGGAATACATAGATTTTATTCTTTTAGTTTCTAATTTTGTTGAAGAAACATTAACACTTTGAATTTATAGGCCTTTGCAAAGCTTTCTATATGTAAATAGTCCTTGAATTGTATGCAGATTTAGAACAAAAAAGTAAACTGAGTAGCATAGGATTAGTCAGGAAACAATTTTTGGAGGAAGTAATAATAAATATTACTTTTTTATTTATTTTTTATTAATCCTCACCTGAGGTTATTTACCATTGATCTTTTTTAGAGAGAGTGAAAGGGAAGAGGAGAGACAGAAAGAGAAACATTGATGTGAGAGAAATGCATCGATTGATTGCCTCCGGCAGGCGCCTCAAAGGGGCCCAGAGATTGAGCCTGCAACTGAGGTACATGTCCGTGACTAGAATTGAACCAGGGACCCTTTGGTCTGCCAGTTGACACTCTTATCCACTGAGCCAAACCAGCTAGGGCTATTTATTTATTTATTTATTTATTTATTTATTTTATTGTTGACAGTATTACAGATGTCCCCCATCCTCCCATCCCTTTTCTCCCCTCCACCCAGGCCACACCCCATATCTTCACTACATTATTGTCTGTGTCCATGGGCCTTGCATATATGCATATAATTCTTTGATTACTTTTAGAGGGAAAGAAAGAATAATTCATCGTTATGGTAGAGCTTGTTTTCTGATGCTGGATTAGATGTAGTCCAGGGTTAGGCAAATTTTAGTGTTAATATTGGAAAGAGGTGAGGGAAAGTGCTTGCTTGGGATCATAAAATCCTATATAATAAAAGCCTAAGATGCTAAGTGTCCAGTCATCTGGCTGGCCATTCAACCAATCAAAGTGTAATATGCTAATGATATGCTAAGGCTGCTCTACCACTCACTATGACATGCACTGACCATCGGGGGAAGACGCTTCGACCAGTAGGTAAGCTTGCTGCTGGGATCCGGCCGATCTGGACTGAGCCAGATGGGCTGGACATATCCTGGAACCCTCCCGCAGTCCCTCCCCAACTGGCCAACTTCCCATGTCCCTCCCTGGCCCGATCATGCACCAGTGGGGTCCCTTGGCCTGGCCTGCACCCTTTCGCAATCCGGGACCCCTCGGGGGATGTCCGACTGCTGGTTTAGGCCTGATCCCTGTGGGCCTAAACCAGCAGTTGGACATCCCTCTCGCAATCCGGGACCGCTGGCTCCTAACTGCTGGCCTGCCTGATCACCCCTAACCACTCTGCATGCCTGTCTGATTACCCCTAACCACTTCTGCCTGCCTGCCTGATGTCCCTAACTGCTGGCCTGCCTGCCTGATCACCCCAAACTGCTCACTTGCCTGCCTGGTCACTCCTAACCACTCTGCCTGCCTGCCTGATTGCCCCTAACCATTCACCTGCCTGCCTGATCACCCCTAACTGCCTCTGCCTGCCTGGCTGATCACCCCTAACTGCCTCTTCCTCAGCCCCCACCACCACGGCTTCGTCTGGAAGGACGTTTGGCTCTCCGGTCTAATTAGCATTATTATGCTTTTATTATTATAAATTAACTTAGGTTGGCACCAAGCCCAGACCCGAGGCCTTGAAGCTCAGTGGTTTTCTGACTAGTAAAACTGTAGTACAGTTTTGTTTGTTTGTGTGTTTTACCATTTACCTTCAGGATTTAAGTAGATTCTATGTGGTCTAGTCATGTGTGTTCTGAGCAATGGTCAAACCACATGGAACATAGCATATTCATTCATTTTAGCTCATGGTGACTTTATTTTTTACAGGCTTAATTTTAGTATAACTTAACTTCAGGGATGAAAAAAAGGGTGTTAAGTCCTTGATTATGGAATTCATTTTTTTTTTTTTTTTTTATTGATTTCAGAGAGGGAGAGAGAGAGAGAAACATCGATGAATCATAGATCTGCTGCGTCCTGCACACCCCCTACTGGGGATCGAGCCCACCACCGGGGCATGTGCCCTTGACAGGAATCGAACCAGGGACCCTTCAGTCCGCAGGCCAACGCTCTATCCACTGAGCCAAACTGGCTAGGGCTTTTTTTTTTTTTTTTTTTTTGAATTCATTTTGAGAATCTTTCTTATATATATATTTTTTAACTTTTTAAAAAACTATTTCTCATTATTATTATTTTTAATCCTCACCTGAGGATATTTTTCCATTGATTTTTAGAGAGAGTGGAAGAGAGAAGTAAAGACAAACATTGATGTGAGAGAAACACATCGATTGGTTGCCTCCTACACACGCCTTGACCAGGGCCTGCACCAGGGAGGAGCCTGCAACTGAGATATGTACCCTTGCCGGAATGGAACCCTGGACCCTTTGGTCCGCAGGCCAACGCTTTATCCACTGAGCCAAACGGGCTAGGGCTGTTTTTTAATTTTTATTAAAAACTTCTATCTAAGGAAAGAAACCAGACGCAGGGATCTTTCTATAAGCTACTTAAGAGTCTTTTGCTTTTATCATTTTTCTTTGAATTAATTTCATTTTGATCCTTAAAAATATGCCAAGAATGGAATCTTAATTTTGGAATTATTTTTCTTGTTAGAAACTGAAATTATAGGAGTTTTTATGGCATTTCCCCCAGTCAGTATTTTACTTGGGGTAGGGGGCAGAACACTAGTCTTTTTTATTTTATTAGGAAGGAAAACTTTTAATGACAGAAATGTACAACTAAGTTTATTTTTAGAGGCCTGCTTTATTCAATTCTTTGGCTCTGCATTCAACCATTTCTTATAGATCAACCATCAAAAAACTGTGTGACTTTTACCTAAGAGTTGTTTTAATATAAACAGAATTTATGCCTTTCAAAATGTTTTCTGTGTCAGTTAACTCAGTATAATTTTATTTAACTAACCTTTAAAAAATATATATTTCTAGTCCTGACCTGTTTGGCTCAGTGGATGGAGCGTCGGCCTGCGGACTGAAAGGTCCCAGGTTCGATTCCAGTCAAGGGCATGTACCTTGGTTGTGGGCACATCCCCAGTAGGGGGTGTGCAGGAGGCAGCTGATCGATGTTTCTAACGCTCTATCCCTCTCCCTTCCTCTCTGTAAAAAATCAATAAAATACATTAAAAAATATATATATATATATACACACACACACACACACACACACACACACACACACCCAAGCTGGAGGCTGGCTGGAAGCAGGTATCTGGGATTTGTTTATCTTCTATAATTGAAACTTTGTTGCCTTGAGCGGAGGCCACAGCTGGCCAGGGCAGGCAGGAAGCTTGGCTTCCTCTATTGCCGGGGCAACCAAGCCTCCTGCTTGCTCCAGCTTCGTGGCTACCGGCTGCCATCTTGGTTGGGTTAATTTGCATATAGTTGCTGGTGGGCGTGGCTTGGGGCGTAGTGGAGGTGCAGTCAGTTTGCATGTTTCTCTTTTATTAGATTAGATTTCTACTAGAGGCCCAGTGCACGAAATTTTGTACACTGGGTATGTCTGTGGGGGGGGAGGGGGGTCCCTCAGCCTGGCCTGCGCCCTTTCGCAGTCCAGGAGCCCTTGAGGGGATGCCCAACTGTGGCTTAGGCCTGTGGGGAGTGGGCCTAAGCCGCAGTCGGACATCCTTAGCACTGCTGCAGAGGCAGGCTCGGCTCCCACCACCACAGCTATGCTTGCCAGCTGTCAGCCTGGCTTGTGACTGAGCGGAGCTCCCCCTATGGAGTGCACTGAACACCAGGGGGCAGTTCCTGTGTTGAGCGTCTGCCACCTGGTGGTCAGTGCGTATCATAGCGACCAGTCATTCCAGCAACTGGCGTTCTGCTGTTCGGTCAATTTGCATATTACCCTTTTATTATATAGGATTGATTTTAGAGAGAGAAAGGGAGAGGGATAGAGAGATAGAAACATCAATGAGAGAGAAATATGATCAGCTGCCTCCTGCACACCCTCTATTAGGGATCAAGCCCACAACGCAGGCATGTGTCCTGGTCAGGAATTGAACCTCAACCTCCTGATTCATGGGCCATGAATGGCTGAAAACATTTTGAAAGAGCCATGCTGGCCGAGCTAAATCAGTATAATTGACCTCATTCTCAAGTGCTATTGCAATATGAAAAGGGAAGTTGTAAATTGTTAAAAAGTAACTTAGTTAAATTTATGGTATTTCACCATTTGTTGGTAGGACTTTGTGCCATTGTATCAGGATTTTGAAAACTTCTATACAAGGAACCTCTACATGAGGATTAGAGACAACTGGAATCGACCAATCTGTAGTGTGCCTGGAGCCAGGATGGACATCATGGAGAGACAGTCTCATGATTACAACTGGTCATTCAGGTAAGTCTTGTTTGGGAAATTAATTCCTAACAACAAAAAAAAGGAATTTTTTGACTTTTTAAAATATTCTATTGCAAATTTGACAGTATTTTGTCAAAACAGCAGTGGAAGCTGAAAATACAATACAATGTGATTAATTTCCTTGCATATTGTTCATTGTTATTGGGATGTTTAAAATACATTTTTTTATTAGTTTGATACTGTGTTGGGTTATAGTTGAAAGCAAAATTTGACCTAGTAAAACAAAACAAGCCCTAGCTGGTTTTGCTCAATTGGTAGAGCGTTGGCCTCTGGACTGAAGGGTCCCAGATTTGATTCTGGTCAAGGGCACATGCCTGGGTTGCGGGCTCAATTCCCAGTGGGGGGCGTGCTGGAGGTAGCCAATCAGTGATTTTCTCTCATTGATGCTTCTATTTCTTTCTCCCTTTCCCTTCCTCTCTGAAATCAATAAAAATATATTTTAAAAAGACAACATCAACAAAAAAACAACACAAAGAAAAACTGTCTTTTCTATTATACTACTTACCAGAATCAAGTATCTGAATTTATTTCTGGGTATTTTGATTTCTCAAATGAGTCAAGGATATGTAGAGTGTTTTTACTTAAATGGGTTCAATAGTTTAAAAGAAAACTTTATAAAATTTTATTTTGTTTAGATTGCTCAAGTATTACATGATTGCATTGCGATTAAAAAAAAAAAAAAGACAAGCACTAAAGATAAATTGAAAGTCCCCATGAGAACTAACCACTATCCCTTTGCAAATCCACTGCCCTACTAATCCTCACTCCCCAGAGGTAACCATTGTTATGTCAGTTTATAGTGTGTTATTCCTCCAGGTGTTTTCTGTGGGATATGTATATAATGTATCTAGTAGGATTACACACAGTTTTTGATTTACAAAAATGGCATCATACTATAGAAATGATACTGCATCTTGTTTTTTTACTTGCTAACATATCAGTAACATCTTTGTGTATATTCACAGCAAGCTCATTATTTGTAGTGGCTACTTAGTATTCTATAATTTTGATGTTTATAGTGTACACATGCAGGTTGGGCTGCATCATCCTGTGTTAAAAACTCCAAAATCTCAAGTTAAAAGATTGGCAATTTATTTCTTGTTCATACTTCATGTTCAACTTAAGTTGGATGTGCCTCTGAACCATGTCGTCTTCACTTGAGGGGTCAACTGTCTGAGCTTCCACAATTAGGAATGTCACTGGTTTGTGTGCCTCGGAAAGAGACATGGTCACAATTGTATTGTGACTCTTTTTTTTCCTTTGGTTAGTCCTCACTGGAGGATATCTTTAAATGGATAAGTACTGTCAAACTGCCTTCCAAAAAAAGTACTCTGATATTCTTTTTTTTTTTTTTTTAATATGTTTTATTGATTTTTTACAGAGAGGAAGGGAGAGGGATAGAGAGTTAGGAACATCAATGAGAGAGAAACATCAGTCAGCTCCCTCCTGCACAACACCTACTAGGGATGTGCTTGCAACCAAGGTACATGCCCTTGACTGGAATCGAACCTGGGACCCTTCAGTCCGTAGGCCGACGCTCTATCCACTGAACCAAACCGGTTAGGGCAGTACTCTGATATTCTTATCTACAGTGTATGAAGTAGTCCTGACCAATGCTGGCTATGGTCAGTTTTTAAATCTTTATCATTATTGATAAGCAAAAATTGGTATTTTAACTTTCATTTCATTTATTGGTAGTGAGTTTGAGCTATTTTTCATTTAGACCATATTCTCTCTGTTTCTTACATATATTGCTTCCTTTGGTATTACTAATACATTTATTATCATATGTAAGTGTTTGACCATGTTCATGGGTTTCATGAACATTCATCCTATTGAAATACAGGTACACAGGGAATACGATTAAAGGTGTTATAAACATGGGTTCCTACAACTATCTTGGATTTGCACGAAATACTGGATCATGTCAGGAGGCAGCTGCCAAAGTCCTAGAGGAGTATGGAGTTGGCGTGTGCAGCACTCGGCAGGAAATTGGTGAGTATAGTCTGTTTGGCTAGCTGATGTTCTTAACTTTTTTACTCAGGAGGGAGTAATACGGATAGAGTGCTAGAATATTAAGTATCCAAATACATACTTTGCCATGTAGTTTAGATCAGATAAAGAATGCTTTATTTTTCTGAATTAATGGATGATTTTAATGCTTTCAACACATTTTGAGACGTATTTTTCTTTTCCATTATGTTATACATACAGAGTATGTTCGATACTATTATTTCATTTATAACTTTAGTGTTGACTTTATTGACTTTTGCAAATGATAGTTCATTAAAGAGCACCACTTCATATCTGAGCCTGTGAGCATATGAAAGTTAATTCTATTTCCGTACTGGTAATTTGGGGCTAATAATAATTCCTACCTTATAGGATTGTTTTAAGAAGCTAATTCATGTAAAGTGCTTGTAACATGGTAAATACTCATTAAATGCTAATTCTTTTTATTAGTAGTACAAGTCTATAAAATGTAAAAGAGAACAGATTTATGTAAAGAGATTTAATTTATTTAGTTAAAAGGAAAATTTCAAATTCTTCATTTTGTTCTAGTGACTGATAACCATAGAAGTTATAAGGCATCAGTCTGGATATTTATTACTGTGAAGCACATCAAAACTTAGTGGATTAAAACAATTCAGCACGGCCAGTGTGGCTCAGTGGTTGAGCATGGGCCCATGAACCAGGAGGTCATGGTTTGATTCCCAGTCAGGGCACATACCCGGGTTGTGGGCTCAATTCCCAGTGGGGGGCATGCAAGAGGCAGCCAATCAATGATTCTCTCTCATCATTGATGTATCTATCTTTACCTTTCTCTTCCTCTCTATGATTAAATAAAGAATAAAAAACAATTCATTGTTATTCGCATGGGTCTAGAGCAGCTGTGGGCAAACTACGGCCCACGGGCTGGATCCGGCCCATTTGAAATGAATAAAACTATTGAAAAAAAAGACCGTACCCTTTTATGTAATGATGTTTACTTTGAATTTATATTAGTTCACACAAACACTCCATCCATGCTTTTGTTCCGGCCCTCCGGTCCAGTTTAAGAACCCATTGTGGCCCTCAAGTCAAAAAGTTTGCCCACCCCTGGTCTAGAGATTGGCAAATACAGCTGGGTTGTTTTCACTTAGGGTCCCTAATGATGTGGTTAAGGGAGCATTAACCACATATAGAAGTCACACATCTTTATGGCAGTTTATATTTTATAAAGTACTTTTTCATAAAGTGCAGGCCAAGGTCAACTAATGCCTGTATTCTGCCTGGGGACACCCAGCATGAGCTACAAAGCAATCTGCAGATGGTTGCTACTTATGCTGGGCTTGGAGTGCAGCAAGGCAAAGCTGCAAACTAAGGCTGGCTGCTGCTTGTGCTGGGCCTGGGGCCACTTAGTGAGAACAACAGGGCATGCTGAGGCCAGATGCTGCTTGTTTGAGAGATTTTATTAAAATCTGAAGCACAAGCCAAAACAGGCTATTCATTTGGAAAAGCAACTGGAAACAGTTTGGGTGGACCCACAGTTGGGTGGGATGGGGGTCTCAGGGAATCACCAGGGCCAGGAGAACAGTGTCAGCCAGATTCATGGAGACTCAAATATGGTGCACATCTACCAGTTCTGTGGGTAGGGCATGAGGAGGGTCTCAAAAAAGGAACAGTGGCCTCTGCCAGCACTTCTGTCTAGGAGAAAGCTGCCCCTCCAGACAGTTCAGTTCCTCCCTTTGTTTCCCTGGTGCCTTTTGAGCTGCTGCCCCAATGCTGGAACCCAGAGGGAATGAGTCAGAGCAAGTCTACGCATGGACCCTTTAAGAGAAACTGCCTAGGACTCCAGCAGCCCTCCATCTCACTCAGCCACAATCAACGCTGGTTTTTACCCCCAGAAATTATGTGGATTTCTCTTCCTGGCACTGGAACCCTGGGCTGGGAACCCGGGTTGGGTGCTGCGACCCCTCACTTCTCAGAGGGGACCTCCACAGCTGAGATATCCCTCCTGATTTTTAAAAAAAATTTTTATTGTTTAAAGTACAGGTAGTCCTCAGGTTACGTCGGACTCGATGTAGGTTGTTTCGTGGTTACGTCGTCATCTCCCATTTACAGCATTTATAAAAAAAAAAAGTTCTGTCATTTTGACATATGTGCTTTATGTTTTTTATTATTTATTTACCACAAGTAAAGGTCAGAAATTGGTATCTTTCTTTTAAATTTTTTTTACTGTTTCACTTCATTACTGCTGTGTATGTGCTCCATGTGAGTGATGTAGGTGCTTATGTAGGTGGATTCTGACTTAGGGCGAAAATCGGGTTACATTGCGCCATAGGAACAGATCTCCGACGTAACCTGAGGACCTACTGTATTACATATGTCTCCTTTTTCCCCCCATTGACCTCTACCCGGCTAGTCCCACTCCCTAGCACATGACCTCACCCCCCCCCTCCTCTCTGTGTCCATGGATTATGCTTATATGCATGCATACAAGTCCTTTGGTTGCTCTCTTAACACCCCCCCACCCCCCACCCCCCGTCTAAGGTTGGACGGTCTGTTCAGTGCTTCTATGTCTCTGGACCTATTTTTGTTCATCAGTTAATGTTGTTCATTATATTCCACAAATAAATGAGATCATGTGATATTTTTCTTTCTCCAATTGGCTTATTTCGCTTAGTATAATGCTCTTCAGGTCCATCTATGCTGTTGCAAATGATAAGAGTTTCTTCTACAGCCGTGTAGTATTCCATTGTGTAGATGTACCACAGTTTTTTAATCCACTCATCTGCTGATGGGCACCTAGGCTGTTTCCAAATCTTAGCTAGTGTAAATTGTGCTGCTATGAACATAGGAGTGCATATATCCTTTCTGATTGGTGTTTCTGATTCCTTGGGATATATTCCTAGAAGTGGAATTACTGGGTCAAATGGGAGTTCCATTTTTAATTTTTTAAGGAAACTCCATACTGTTTTTCACAGTGGCTACACCAGTCTGCATTCCCACCAGCAGTCTTCCTGATTTCTTATCCGCCACACATGAGTGTGGGACCCAGCCATTCCTTGTTTCCACCCCTCCAACCAGTTCAGTGTGGCTTTTTTTAATATTCTTAGTTGTAGGTCTTTCCTTCAGCTAGATTTCAGGCAGTAAAGTAATGAATGATTCTTAAATTTTGGGTTTGGTGATATTGACTTCATTAACTTCTTCACACAGGTAACCTGGACAAGCATGAAGAACTAGAAAAGCTTGTGGCAAGTTTCTTGGGAGTAGAAGCTGCTATGGCATATGGCATGGGATTTGCAACAAATTCAATGAACATTCCTGCTCTTGTTAGCAAAGTAAGACTTAGTCTGTCATTAATGAAAACTCCCTTATATATATCATATTTTGTTTTATAAAACATTCAGAGCAAGCCAGAAACTATTATAAATTTAGGTTAAATATAGTCTGCCCAAAGATATTTCTATCACAAACTTTTGGATAAGTATATACCATAAAGATTTACATCAATTGAAGCTTTCTTATTAGAACCCATGATCCCTTCCTCTCCCATTAGATGACACTTGCCTTCTTCATTTCATACAGTTTTAAAGGGATTCTAATAAATAAAACCTTATGAATGGCTAAAATTATGGAAGAAAGAATGTTTCATTTGGAAAGTTATTTAACAGGTAGTTTTTCCCCAAATAGAAAAATTTGAAAATATATACTTGTTCTCACTGTAATGTATATTACTGAAAGACATATGAGCAAATTATATGTGTGTCTATATATATGTTAGTAATAATGTAGGTTAATAATGTGTGTAGAGCTTCTATGAGGGGACAGTAGAAGAGAAGAGATGAGACATTGTAAATCACATTTTAGCAGATTAGCACTTTCAGTTTGAGCAGTTCTTCAAAGGGTATTTATTCTCATTTTAACCGTGATCTGTGAATGGTATCTTGAAAAAATCATCAGTGCCTTGAGTCCAAAGACTTGAGTTTTTTGTTTGTTTGTTTGTTTTTAATATATATTTTATTGATTTTTTTTTACAGAGAGGAAGGGAGAGGGATAGAGAGTTAGAAACATCGATGAGAGAGAAACATCGATCAGCTGCCTCTTGCACACTCCCTACTGGGGATGTGCCCGCAACCAAGGTACATGCCCTTGACCAGAATCGAACCTGAGACCCTTGAGTCCTCAGCCTGACGCTCTATCCACTGAGCCAAACCGGTTAGGGCAGAAGACCTGAGTTTTCGCTTGTTTGATTATATGGTCAAATTTAGCTGTGTGACTGAACAATGTCAAAACCTTTCTGAGCCCCAAATTTTCCTTTGTAAAATTAAGTACTTGAATTAGATTAACTCTAAAGTCCTTTTCAGTTATGTAAATCCAGGGAACAGAAGAAAGAGAACAGAAAGCAAGAGAGGAAATTTAAACCTATATTGGCATTACATTAAATGGAAATGGTTTATACATTCCAAGTAAAAGACAGAGATTGTCAGATTAGATAAAATTTAGTATGTTTCTACCAGAAATCAACTTTAAATTTAAAGACACAAGTAGGTTTAAGTAAAAGAATGGAAAAGATATAGCATGTAAATAATAATCAAAAGGAAGTTGGCGTGCTCTTGCCAGGTGACTCAGTTGGAGCATCATCCTGTACACCAAAAGATGGCAGGTTTGATTCCTAGTCAGGGCACATAACCAGGTTGTGAGTTCAATCCCTGCTTGGGGTGCATGCAGGAGGCAACTGATCAAAGTTTCTCACATCGGTGTTTCTCTTCCTCTCTAAAAATCAATAAAAATTCAAGAAAAAACACACAAAAAAATTGATAGAACTAGTATGAAAATCTAAGGAGATAGAACATTTGAAAAACACAATTAACCAACTTAACATTTATGAAACATTTCAACCAGCAACAGCAAAACATTTACCAAGAGACCATTTTCTGGGCCATTAAACCAACCTTAACAAATTTAAAAGAATTGAAATTATTCAAAATACTAGAGGCCCGGTGCACGAAATTTGTGCACTGTGTGTGTGTGTGTGTGTGTGTGTGTGTGTGTGTGTGTCCCTCAGCCCAGCCTGCACTCTCCAATCTGGGATCCCTCTCACAATCCAGGACTGCTGCCTGCCTGCCTGCCTGATTGCTCCTAACCACTTCTGCCTGCCAGCCTGATCACCCCCTAACCACTCCCCTGCCAGCCTGTCTGATGCCTCACTGCTTTCCTCCTGGCCCATTGCCGCTAACTGCCCTTTCCTGCTGGCCTGGGCACCCCTAACTATCCTCCCCTCCAGTCCTGGTCCCCCCCAACTGCCCTCCCCTGCTGGCCTGGTCGCCCCTAACTGCTCTCCCCTGCAGGCCTGGGTCTCCCCCTAACTGCTTTCCTCTACAGGCCCGGTCACCGCTAACTGCCCTCCCCTGCTGGCCTGATTGCCCACAACTGCCCTCCCCTGCTGGCCATCTTTGACCACATGGCGGTAGCCATCTTGTGTGTTGGAGTGATGGTTAATTTGCATATTACCTTTATTAGATAGGATGTTCTCTAACCATAATGGAATTGACTTAGAAATCAGTAACACAAAGAAAGATATCTGGAAAATCCTCAAACAATTGAAAAGTAAATGACACACTTTTAAATAACCCAGGCTCAAAGAAAGGCAAAATTGAAAATACTTGAACTAACTGGAAATGTAATATAATTTGTGGGAGGAAGCTAAAGCCATACTCAGATGGAAATATATAGCATTAAATGCTTATATTAGGGGGAAAAAAGAGTTTTGAATCAGCCATCTAAATTCCTACCACATGAAATTAGGAAAAGAAAAGAGCAGATTAAACCCAGAGATTTCAGAGGAAGGATACAATAAAGGTAAATGCAGAAATCAATAAATTAGAAAATAGACAATAGGTGAAATCAGTGAAACCAATACTGATTCTTTGAGAAAATGAATGCAGTTGACAGATCTCTAGTCAGATTGATCAGGATAAAAAGAGAGAAGACAAAAATTACTAGTAGTAGGCATGAAAGAAGCTACTTCACTACATATCCTATGGACATTAAAAGGATATAAGGAAATATTAAGAACAACTTCATGCTAGTAAATTCAACAACTTAGCTACAGTGGACAAATTTCTTGAGAAAAAAATAAGTGTATGATTCTTTGATTATAGTACATTTTGACATCATAAACTTGAGATTCTTATTTGGAATTTCATAGAATTTTTTACACTAAAGGGTTAAATAATTTCATTTTGCTTCCCCTGTGTGTTCACAAACTAACAATCACTATCTAGAATTAGATGTTTTATATACAGACGTGGAAGATACTACCTTAAACATTTATTGTGCAAATTAAATATTATAGTTGAGATGTTATGAAATATATTTTAATCTATTCAAGGCAACAACAAATCCAGTTTTACTCTTTCTTTAAGACTTATATTACATTTCAATAGGAGGTGATCAGTAACTCACCTTAAAGTCAGAGGCAGACAGTATATTGACTAAGAGCATGTATTCTAAAAGCAGAAGCTTTGTATCAGACACTTAAATGCTCTGACCTTGGGCAAGATTTGTAACTCCTTAGTTCCCACATGTAAAGTGGGGATAATAATAATAGTTCTTACCTCACAGATTGTTGTGAGGATTAAAGGTAACTATGTGTTTACAACCCTTAATATAATGCCTGAAACATATTAAGCATTTAGATGTTAACTGCTGGCATTTAATTTTTATTTTTGCATAAATGACATAATAGACCCTCATAGTATATTAGAAGAAAAAATAGGTTGATACACAGAAATGGTGAATTAGGCTGTCTAAAAAGGAGATGATAAACAAAAAGAACATAATTATATTGCTGATTTTGCAAAAAAGAAAAATTAAATGGAAAAAGAAAATTGCATTCTTTTTAAGGTACAGTGGAATGCCAAGAGTGGTTAAGGAAAGGATTTAAAGACTTGCAGAAGAGGAATTCAGCCTCTCCATTTTTCCCCTAATTTTTTCAATTTTAACGCTTTTTTTCAGAGATAAATTTAGACTTACAGAAGAGTTGCAAGAGAGTATAGAGCGTTCTGGGTACCTTTCATTCAGCTTCCCTTTATGTTAATATTTTACATAACAGTGAAACATTTACCAAAACTAAAAAACTAACTTTGATTCAATACTACTAACTAAAGAACAGAACTTGTTTCAGTTTCACCAGTTTTCCCACTGATAACTATTTTCCTGCTCCAGAATTCAATCGAGTATCTTCATTGCATTGAGTTCTTGTCTTTCCTGGTTTTGACTCTTCTGAAGGAAGTGTTATTGCTTCTTCCCTATTTATTTATATCAGTATGGGTTCATGAATATTTTATTATTTGGGTTCAACATGATTACTTTTAATTTTGTTGCTCAAGTTGATCCAGTTTTGGTCATTAGTAGATCTTTCAGGTGGGCTCCTGCGCCCTTTGAGTATGCCCCATTTTTTTTTTTCCTAAAGCACTTTCTTTGCAGCATAACGAGATGCCCCAGGCCCGTGGTCAGCAAACTGCAGCTCGCGAGCCACATGCGGCTCTTTGGCCCCTTGAGTGTGGCTCTTCCTAAGCCTTAGGAGTATCCTAATTAAGTTAATAACAATGTACCTACCTATATAGTTTAAGTTTAAAAAATTTGGCTCTCAAAAGAAATTTCAATCATTGTACTGTTGATATTTGGTTCTGTTGACTAATGAGTTTGCTGACCACTGCCCCAGGCTCTTTTTACCTATCCTCACCTTGGGGTCAATCACTAAGTTCTCCATTGAGCCCTGGTTCCTTTTATTGGAGGATTGTATTTAGAAACCAAGATTTGATGTGTTCATTGCCTCTCGGTGGATAGAGCTAGAAAAATAAAAACATGTATACTAACTCATGCATAAACATATCAATTAGTATGCATGTGTATAAATTTTTTTAAATTCTTTATTAGTTAAGATATTACAAATTTGTCCTTATCCCCCCTATTAACCCCCCTCCCCCAACTCATGTTCTCATCCCCCTGTTGTCCATGTCCATTGGTTTGGCTTATATGCATGCATACAAGTCCTTTGGTTGATCTCTTCCCCTTACCCCCTCGCTCCCCTACTTTCCCTCTGGGGAGTGATAGTCTGATCGCTGTTTCTCTGTCTTTGAATCTGTCCCTGTTTATCAGTCTATGTTGTTCTCTATAATCCACAAATGAGTGAGATCATGTGGTATTTATCTTTCTCTGACTGGCTTATTTCACTTAGCATAATGCTCTCCAGTTCCATCCTTGCTGTTGCAAAAGGCAAGAGTTCCTTCTTTTTCACCGCAGCATAGAATTCCATTGTGTAGCTATACCACAGTTTTCTAATCCACTCATCTGCTGATGGGCACTTAGGCTGTTTCCAGATCTTAGCTATGGCGAATTGTGCTGCTATGAACATAGGGGTGCATATATCCTTTCTGATTGGTGTTTCTGGTTTCTTGGGATATAGTCCTAGAAGTGGGATCACTGGGTCAAATGGGAGTTCCATTTTTAGTTTTTTGAGGACACTCCATACTGTTCTCCACAGTGGCTGCACCAGTCTGCATTCCCACCAACAGTGCAGAAGGGTTCCTTTTTCTCTGCATCCTCTCCAACACTTGTTTGTTGATTTGTTGATGATAGCCATTCTGACAGGTGTGAGATGGTACCGCATTGTCGTTTTGATTTGCATCTCTCGTATAATTAGTGACTTTGAGCATGTTTTCATATGTCTTTCGGCTAGATATACATTTTAAAAACTATTAGTCCATATGGGTATTTCCAACTCCACTTCTCTTCATTTTTAATCTACACATTTTTAATGAGAGAGCTTTTTAAAATCTTAATAATGAAAACTTTACATACAGTAAAAATTTCAGGTGGACAATTGCTATTGCAAGTTCATAAGTATCCATCCAGGAATACTCTTCCTTTTATTCTGGGAGCACGCTGACACTTTCTGCTCCTTCCTTTTTTCATCTATTCGGATATTTTGAAGGCCATTGTTGACAGAGAAAAACCTGTTTCTGAGTTCAGACTTTATAGGTTGGAACCTGCAGGAGATGTGGAAGAGTAAGAACTGGGGAAGAAATAAATATTCTGAGAGCTTCAGATGTTTCTTGTTGCCTTAACAGAAACCCATGTTTACATGGATTTACAGAAAAACTTGTTCAGAGATTTTAAGGGCAAAACTAAGCCTACACTCTGTGTGATTTTGGGAATCCTATCTAATAATATACAAACATGGTAATTGACCATACCTTTGCTACGCCTCCCATTGGCTAATCAGCATGATATGCAAACTAACCACCAACAAAGACGGCAGCTAATTTGCATACTGCAGGCAGGGCGGGACAGTGCCATCCCGCCTGCCCCGCCGCCATCTGGGCCTGCTATTTGCGACCCGGGGCGGTGGGGCGGGACAGTGCTATCCCGCCTGCCCTGCCGCCATCCGGGCCTGCTATCTGCGACCCGGGGTGGCAGGCGTCCGTGTACGACCCAACCCGGGGCGGCTGGGTGGTGCAGCAGCAATCTGCCGGGCGTCCCATGTGCGACCCAACCCGGGGCGGCTGGGCGGGGCAGCAGCGATTGACCGGCCCACCTGGGCGTCCCGTGTGTGACCCGACCCGGCGCCCCAACCCCCAAATCGGCCCTGCCGTGTGCACGACCTGGGATGGCGCCTTAACCCCCAGATCAGCCCTGCCGTGTGCGCAACCTGGGGAGGCGGGGCAGGCACCGAGGGATCAGGCCTGCCATCTGCCACCGGGGGAGCAGGCCTAAGCCATCAGGTGGTTATCTCCCGAAGGGTCCCAGACTGTGAGAGGGCACAAGTAGGGCTGAGGGACACCCCTCCTCCCCCGCCAGTGCACAAATTTTTGTGCACTGGGCCTCTAGTCCTATATAATAAAGAGCTAATGTGCTAATTAGATCAAACAGCAGAATGACTGTCAGGAGGACCTTCAGGACAAAGCCGGGGCTGCGAGGGCCTATGCTTGCTTGAATTTTGTGCATCGGGCCACTAGTTAGATTAATAAGTGGGATTGTTACTGAACTCTGGATGGTTAGGAGTGGGAGGAAGAATGCACTGTTTCCATAAGCGTTACTCCCTCAACTGCCTTCTCCCCCACACACTTTTTCTGTGAGTAAAATAGTACATCATACCATACTCATGAAATGACATCATACCAACAAAATTGAAACTCTATGAAGACTATCTGGTATCTCAGATTTTAAGTATAAATAAAAAACCTATTGCTATATATCTGGGTATTTATGTCCATCTCAGGAATGAAGAAGTTAAAAGGCTAGAATTTTGCATCTACTTCTAAATTAATTTTTTTGGGGAAAAAAAACAACTATACTTTTTTTCTTACTGAAATTGATTGTTTGCTGTTATACAAACTTTCCTTAATAGGCTATAATTATTAATGATTTTAACATTTGATCTTTTGTGTAATGAAACCTCACCTGCCTCCACCCCAGCTTCTTACTTCCTGTCCTTGTGGTTTTGCAGGGTTGCTTGATTCTGAGTGATGAACTGAACCATGCATCACTGGTTCTGGGAGCCCGACTCTCAGGAGCAACCATTCGAGTCTTCAAACACAACAGTGAGTTTGTTGTGGAGGTCTTAGTGTTTAGTATTCCTTGGATTAGTGGCAGTGGTCATATTAATAATAGAAAATATAAATGAAGATGAAATAGCAACATTTAAAATGTTTTTCTGAGCCCTGGCTGGATAGCTCAGTTGGTTAGAGCATTGTCTCTATACACCAAGGTTGTGGGTTTGATTCTCCAGTCAGGGCACATACAAGAATCAACCAATGAATGCGTAAATAAGTGGAACAACAAATCGCCCTCCCTTCTCCCTTCGAAAGCCAAAACTTTCTTCCTAAATGGAAATGTGTTGTGTATTATTAAAATATTTATTTGCAATAAAAATGCATAACTTTTGTAATTAAAACATTCACATGTAGAGAAGAAAGATTACCAACTGTATTTTTAATAACATCTTTTACCAAAGTGAGTACATGTACAAACAAGTCTAGAAGAATATACACCAAAATAGTAGGTCTGTGCTCCTGGTTGGAAGGTTAGAGATGGTAATAACTTCCTGCCTTTTGTCTTTGTCTTGTCTAAAATGTTTTACAATAAGAATGATGCAAATAGCATTTTGTTTTATGTAAATGGAAATAGCATTTTGTTTTATGTAAATAGGACTTATTAAACACCACTGTGGAACCTGCTCTTTTCTTACAACACATTGGGAACTTTGGCAATACATGTGACTCTCCTCCTCCCCTAATGTCAGGGTGGCAGGCAGTGTCTGGAAGTGCCCTTATTCAGACTGTCTCTCAGTTTGGACATCGAGGTTGTTTGTAAAATTTTCTACTAGAAACAGTACTACCTGTTACCCACATTTTTGCTCAATGGTGTGATTAGTGCCTTGGGATGAATTCCTAGCAGTCTTAGAATGCCTGGTTAAAAGGGCACACATATTTTTGTATTTTTCCAAATTGCCTCCAAGCATTGTACAGACTTTTACTCAACAACATGACAGTGACTCACAAGCCAACTTAGGCCATTATGAAATATTTTAAAACTTCCCTTCTCTAATAATCAACATGTTAATTTTATTTCTTTCATTATTAGGTGTCAAGCAACTTTTTATACAGTATTGTGTTTGAATTTCTTTGTAAATTGGTCATTTTCAAATGTTTTCTCTTTTTTACTGATTATAAGAGCCCTTCCTATTTTCTTTGATACTGCATTATTTTTTATGTTACTTTTAACTTTGTTTTTAGTTTTTTGCTGTGCAAACTTATTAAAATGCTTATGTTGTCACATTTATTATCTTGTGACTTCGATTTTGTGTTAATACCTTCCATATTTAAGATAATAGGGTTATTCTCTTATTTTCTTCTGGTAGTTTTGTGGTGTTTTTTTATTTACATCTTTATTCTTACATGGGATTTGTGAAGTATAAGAGAGATACTAGATTTTTCTCCCTAAGTTGATAATATGGTTTAGCATTGTACAGATATTTCCTTTCATCTAAAATTTTGAATCAGTATTTATTTTTCTCCTCTTTTCTGTATGTAAACAGAGGAAACTAAAACAATGACTACATTTTTACTGGCTCTTGCTGATTGCCAGATGCTGCCCTCTGCAGCAGGACTAGCCACTTCAACACTTCCGGGACAGCATCTCCTGTCTCTGGGTCAGGTAGCAGACAGATTGTGTTCTTACGAATAACTGAAGGTGTCAACACAATCACAATCCACGGCCATCTTATCTGTGTTTGTGGTGTTTTTATTATTTCTCTTTTCTACCGAAGTCCTTTCTATGAAAAGAGCAAAATCATGTAATTTTGTAACACCCTCCTTCAGTGAGGAGCAATAAAGACTATAAAATCAGATTTTATGATGGCTTGCCTCCCACCCTTGTTAAATATACTGCAGTCTTCATGTTACAGTTTTCTTGAGGTGTTTTTTGTTGTTGTTTTTTTTGGTTTTGGTTTTGGTTTTTTTGAGCGGGGTTTCTTAAGGGCAGTGTTTCAGGGCAAAAAAATTTAAATAAGAAGTTGATAGCAAAAATTTAAATAAGAAGTCGGCAGCAAAAATGGTCTTCAAAGCATTTATCTTTAACAGGAAAATTATGACCCTCATTAGTGGTAGTACTAGCCACGTTGTTTCCTAGACCTGTTAACCATCTTAAGAACCAACAGAGCCACAAGAACTTGGTTGTGTACAGATAGCAGATCAAATCAAACAGAAACAATCTCAACTGATTGCCAAGCTTGCTTAACACAGAGATTCATGCATTTAGGAATTTATTCTATAGCACTAATCAGACTACTGTATTTTTAACCCACTACTAAGATAAAGTTATTTAACAAGCATTTATGAAGAACATCTTCTGTGAAAGGAAATGGGCATGTACTTTGAAGTTTTTCCCCATATTTGATTTTTAGGAGGTGTATGTATTTACAGTGGGACCTTGACTTATGAGTGTCCCGACTAACGAGTTTTTTGAGATACCAGCTGTCTCTCGGACAATTGTTTGCATTGAGTTGATAGAGTAATTTGAGTTAAAGAGCTCCTTAACGAGTTCGGTCTCTGAACAAATTAAACTCGTAAGTCAAGGCCCCACTGTATAGTGGTTTCCATACTCTTGCTCAGTCTTCTTTATGCATTATTTCTGAATGACTCACTAAGATACAGTTGATTTTATAAATACAAAAAAAGCTAACTGAATGGCCAAGTATTTAACATGAAACATTGGTAATTTCATAAGCCTGCTAACCACCTGACTCAACTGTGCCACAGTCATTTGTTGAGTTCTGTGACTTTGAACATTTGTTACATTTCAGACGAGATTTTAATTCAAGATAGCAGTAGCTCACTCATTTTGCTCCATCTTTTTCTGCCCTGTTCTGACTTTGTTAATGTCCTTTGCTGTCTGAGACAGTCTTCCTAAATAAGAAATGTTTATTTGCATTTCTGGAATAAAGTTAGGAAAGAGAAAGTACTTTATGCTGACATCTTTTTGTGTGTGCTATAGACATGCAGAGCCTAGAGAAGCTATTGAAAGATGCCATTGTCTGTGGTCAGCCTCGGACACGAAGGCCCTGGAAGAAGATTCTAATCCTTGTGGAGGGAATATATAGGTAATCCTGCTTTATGTTCTAATTTTTCAGATTTGGTTCCATGAAGTCTTAGAATTTTTCAGCCTCACTTCATTCTCAAGGAAACACTAATTAGACCCCCCTGGAAACTAAGGAGACAGTGTTTTTGACTTGTTAAAGTACCTGGAAGCAGAGTTAGCTCTAGGACAAAAGTCTTTTTGTCTGGCTTTTAATCTTTCCATCATGCTACATGGTCCTCAAATCTCCCTTCTATTTGGATCCTTTATTTTTCTGTTTATAGAGGGAATTTGTATATAGGTCAAGAATTGAAATATGTTTTCTAATATGTCAGAACTAAGTTACACACCATTTAATATTAAGAAATTTTTATTTTATTTATTTGCAGCCCTTCCACTTACTTTCTTACCTCCTAATGTTTTTTAATTCTTTCTGTAGAATTTCAATTGCATACCTATGTGATGCAGAGTCTAACGTTGCCTATAATTACAAGCTTTAGAAGAATCTGCTGTGACTTTTATTCCTCTGTAGTGAATTAAGATTTGCCCTGACCTGTTTGGCTCAATGGATAGAGCGTCGGCCTGTGGACTGAAGGGTCCCGGGTTCGATTCCGGTCAAGGGCATGTACCTTGGTTGCAGGCACATCCCCAGTGGGGGATGTGCAGGAGGCAGCTGATCGATGTTTCTCTCTCATCGATGTTCCTAACTCTCTATCCTTCTCCCTTCCTCTCTGTAAAAAATCAATAAAATATATTAAAGAAAAAAAAAGATTGTGTTCTAGTACTTGTTTTAAAAGATCCATTCTAGCCATGGCATCATTTGATTTTGCCAGTTTAAAACCACAGGCAGAGTTGTTGTTAGACTATTTCAAAAAGCAGTAAAATTCAGAAATTAATATAGTGGCCAGCTCCTAATTTTGAGAGTTAAGAAGTCTCAGTGTATGTATTGTTTACTCTGTTTTGCCAGCATGGAGGGATCCATTGTTCGCCTTCCTGAGGTGATTGCCCTTAAGAAGAAATACAAGGCATACCTGTATCTTGATGAAGCCCACAGCATCGGGGCTCTGGGCCCTGCGGGACGAGGTGTGGTAGATTACTTTGGCCTGGATCCTGAGGATGTGGACGTTATGATGGGAACATTTACCAAGAGCTTTGGTGCTTCTGGAGGATACATTGGAGGGAAGAAGGTAAATGGGCTGTGATTATTGAGCAGTTAAGAACAAAGGCACTGGCTACTAGGTTTAGTAAGTCATGTCTAATAGCTTCCAAACTGGGATGCGAGATCCTGAATTTGTGGTTTAGGCTCATGGTGCCAGCGGGTTCACACTTCAGCTGCCTGGTGAGTGACTGAGGCATTGAAGGCTGGTTCTGTTCATTGTTTGTTGTTTTCTTCTTTGAGCTTCGTTCTAAACTACATGCTGGTTTGAGATATAGAATACCCTCTTGTATGAAAGAACACACAGTGGTGCTGCCTGTTTGCCACACTCTTTTGCTGGGTTTGAGTTGTGCTCAGTTTCAAAGTAGTGGGGTTGTCATGGGAGCTGATGGGAATAAAAGGCCAAGTTCCTTGCCCTTAGACTTAAATGCATCTTGGGTGAACATAAAGACAGGAAGAAAAATGATTATTTTGTTAGCTCTGGTGTATTATAAGGCTTTGTTTTTTATTTTGTTTTGTGGGTTTTTGTGTTTTTGGTTTTTCAATTTAAAAATCATATACTGACCTCTAAGCCATTTGAGGCGTGTGGCATGGTAAAAATGTTTGAACCATGGAGACAGAGGCCTGGGTTTGATTATTTCCTTAACTTTGTGAGACCTTGGACAAAGCATTTAACTTTTCAATTTCCTTATCAGTAAAACAGAGGTAAATATGCTGGCTTATAAGATTGTAGTAAGGGTTTAAGAAATAATGTATGTCCATGCTGCAACATGGATGAACCTTGAAAGCTTTATGTTAAGTTAAAGAAGGAAGTCACAAAAGGTCACATGTTATATTATCTCTTCAACTAGAAGGCCCAGTGCACAAAAATTTGTGCACTGCGGGGGGTCGTCCCCTCAGCCCAGCCTGTGCCCTCTCGCAGTCTGGGACCCCTTGGGGGATGACCACTTGCTGGCTTAGGCCTGCTCCCTGGGGGGATTGGGCCTAAGCTGGCAGTCAGACCTCCCTCTGGCAGCCCGGGAGCCCTCAGGGATGTCCACTTGCCAACGGGGAGCAGGCCTAAGCTGCAGTTGGACATCCTTAGCGCTGCTGAGGAGGTGGGAGAGGCTTTCACCACCACTGCCATACTGGCAGCCGTCAGCCTGGATTGTGGCTGAGCAGAGCTCCCCCTGTGGGAGCATACTGATCACCAGGGGGCAGCTCCTGCATTGAGCGTCTGCTCCCTAGTGGTCAGTGTGTGTCATAGTGACCAGTCATTCCCAGATTCCCAGTCATTCTGCTGTTAGGGTCAGTTTGCATATTACCCTTTTATTATATAGGATAGAGGCCTGGTGCATGTGTGGGGGCCGGCTGGTTTGCCCTGAAGGGTGTCCCGGATCAGGGTGGGGGTCCCGCTGGGGTGCCTGGCCAGCCTGGGTTAGGGGCTGATGGGTGTTTGTAGGCTGGTCACACCCCCTTCAGGGTGGGGGTCCCCACTGGGGTGCCTGGCCAGCCTGAGTGAGGGGCTGAGGGCCGTTTTCAGGCTGGCCACAGCCCCCCCGGCGACAAAAGCTCCCAACCTCTCCTTTTTTTCTTTTTTTTTTTTTTTTTTCTGGGATTTATTTACCTTCTATAATTGAAACTTTGTAGCCTTGAGAGGAGCTCAGAGCCGGCCAGGGCGGGCGGGAGGGAAAGCCTCCTGCTCGCTCCAGCTCCGTGGCCATGCCCGCTGAAAGCAAGTCTCTGGGTTTATTTATCTTCTATAATTGAAACTCTGTTGGTTTGAGTGGAGCTCAGAGCCCGCCGTGGCAGGTGGGAAGTTGGCTTCCTCCATCATTGGGGCAACCAAGCCTCCTGCTTGCTCCAGCTCCGTGGCTGCTGGCCGCCATCTTGGTTGGGTTAATTTGCATATAGTCGCTCTGATTGGCTGGTGGGCATGGCTTAAGGCGAAGCGAAGGTACAGTTTGCATGTTTGTCTTTTATTAGTATAGACTAGAGGCCGGGTGCACAAAAATTTGTGCACTCGGGGGGAAGGGGGGGGTCCCTCAGCCTGGCCTGTGCCCTGTCACAGTCTGGGACCCCTCGGGAGATAACGCCCTGCTGCTTAGGCCTGCTCCCGGGTGGCAGAGGGCAGGCCCAATCCCTAGGTGCAGCCCCTGGTCGGGCTCAGAGCAGGGCCGATTGGGGAGTTGGGGCGCCACCCCCTGTCATGCACAGAGCAGAGCAGATTGAGAGGTTGCGATGCCACCCTCAGTCACGCTCAGGGTAGGGCCTATTGGGGGGTTGGGGCACCGCCCCCTGTCACACTCAAGGCAGGGTCGATGGGGAGGTTGCGGCGCCACCCCCTGTCACGCACAGAGCAGGGCCCATCAGGGGGGTTGGGGCTCCTTACCCTGTCACACACAGAGCAGGGTCGATCAGGGGTTGGGGTGCTCCCCCCTGTCACTCACAGAGTAGGGCCGATAGGGGAGTTGGGGCACTGCCCCCTGTCACACACAGAGCAGGGCGAATCAGGGGGTTGGGGCGCTGCCCTCTATCACCCACAGAGCAGGGCCGATCAGGGGGTTGGGGCGCCGCCACTCTCACACTCAGGGCAGGGCCGATGGGGAAGTTCTGGCTCTACCCTGTCACACACAGAGCAGGGCCCGTGTGGGGTGGGTTGGGGCGCCGCACCCTGTCACACACAGAGCAGGGCCAATCAGGGGGTTGGGGCGCCGCACCCTGTCACACAGAGCCGCAGGGCGATCGGGGGCTTGGGGAGCCCCCCCGTATCAGGCACAGAGCAGGGCTGATCAGGAGGTTGGGGCGCCTTCGCCTGTCATGAAAAGAGCAGGGTGGATAGGGAGGTTGTGGCCCCACCCCCTGTCACACACAGAGCCGCAGGGCCATCAGGGGTTTTGGGCGCTGCCCCCTGTCACACTGATCCCGGTGCTGGGAGGCATATTACCCTTTTACTATATAGGATAGAGGCCTGGTGCATGGGTGGGGCTGGCTGGTTTGCCCTGAAGGGTGTCCTGGATCAGGGTGGGGGTCCCCACTGGGGTGCCTGGCCAGCCTGGATGAGGGGATGATGGCTGTTTGCAGCTGGTCACACACCCTTCAAGGTGGGTGTCCCCACTGGGGTGCCTGGCCTGTCTGGGTGAGGGGTTGAGGGCTGAAGCTCCCAACTGCTCCTTTTTTTCTTTTTTTTTTCTTTATTCTGGGCCAGCTTTAGCTCTGGCTCCAGCTCTGAGGCCTCTGCTGCTGAAAGCAGGTATCTGGTTTGTTTGTGTTCTATAATTGAAACAATGTATAACTCCAGCTCTGAGATCCTGGCTCGCTGAAAGCAGGTTTCTGGGGTTTTGTTTAGCTTCTATATTTGTAACTATGTTTCAAACTGCAGGCTCAGAGGCCGGCAAGGCAGGCGGGTAACGTTGGTTTCCTCCGTCACTGAAGCAAGCAAGACTCATGTTAGTTTCAAGCTGCCTGGCTGCTGGCTGTCATCTTGGCTGGCAGTTAATTTGCATATCGCCCTGATTAGCCAATGGGAAGGGTAGCGGACGTACGCTAATTACCATGTTTCTCTTTTATTAGATAGGTATAGATATGCTTTATCCAGAATAGGCAGATCATAGAGATAGAAAGTAAATTGGTGGTTGCTAGGGGTTGAGGAGCTGGGGGAAGTGGAAAGTGACTGCTAATGGGTGTGAGGTTTCTTTTTGAGGTAATGAAAATGTTCTAAAATTAGGTAGTGATGACAGTTGTATAGTTCTATGAATATACTAAAAAACACTGAATTGTACACATTGAAAAAGTGAATTCTATCGTATGTGAATTATATCTCATTAAAACTGTTACTTTGCCCTAGCCAGTTTGGCTCAGTGGATATAGTATTGACCTGCAGACTGAAGGGTCCCAGGTTTGATTCCCGCCAAGGGCACGTTGCAGGCTTGATCCCCCGCATGATCGGAGCTCCTTTGGGCAGCAACCAATCGATGTGTCTCTCTCAAATCAGATTTTCTCTCTCTGTCTCTCCCCTTCCCTTCCACTCTCTTTAAAAATCAATGGACAAATATCCTCAGGTAAGGATTAACAAAAACAAACAAACAAAAAAATGCTGTTTAAAAACTGCAGTTTTAGGGAAAAAACAGTGTATGTTAAATATTTGTATGTGGCATATAGTTGGTAATTGTAAATTTCTTTAATTCCTCTTTAATACTTTGGAAATCTTAAAGCATGGATTTTCTCTTAATAATTGATTGCCCTTTAGAGAAAATTTATTATCAGTAGTTTTAGTCCAGTTTGGTAGATTTTTTACCTTGAGTTTTGATAATGGGACCAGGCTACTTTGGAGAGTTGATTGCCTTTTGGTAAGATTTATTGCTAAATCAAAGGACAGATAATAATACTCTGGGAGGTATTTTCGGTACATTATATTTATGTTATTGTGGGTTTTATATAATTTTGCGTAATTTTGCGTACACTATTAAAAAGCCACATTATGTGTCTTCTTGATTCTGGTACATAAGCTTTTTTGTGTGAATGTTTAAAGACTTAGTGAAGTTAGAAGGTATCAGTGATTGGGGATAGACAACTGATTTCTTTGAAAACCTTGTATCTTATAAACAAGGTTTTTCTTTATTCTTTGTTGCAGGCCTTAGTGTTCTGTGAAAGACCCAGGGATTTTCTGCCACATATAATTTTATAAATATATATGTGGAGGATATTGAATGCCTTTAAAATTGATTTAGAGAATTGATTTTCTCTGATCTAGAAGTGTAAGGAGGGCTTTGCAGATGTGGGATGCAGATGATATTTTCTTTAATACTTACAAGTAAACCACTTGTCCAAAAGTAATATAAACACTTTCTTGTTTAATTCTGCATTGTAGATCTATTTATATCATTAAGTGATACGCTGTCCAAATTTAGAGGGTTTCTTTAAAACTACTTTCTCATTCTGTGTGGCAGGTTTAAAAAATAAAACAAAGCGTAAGGACGTTGCCATGTGTCCAACCCAGTTGGTTGTCCTTGCCTCTCAGATTAGTGTCCCTATTCCAGTCTGCTGAAGGGAGGAGGAGCCTGCTTTCTCCTGGAAGGTAGGCAGTGACATTGCCGGTGAACCCAAACATTGCCTCTGATGCCTTGCTTCTGTGAACTCCCCAGGAGCTGATAGACTATCTGCGAACACATTCTCATAGTGCAGTGTATGCCACGTCACTGTCACCGCCTGTTGTGCAGCAGATCATCACCTCAATGAAGTGCATCATGGGGAAGGATGGTACCACCCTTGGTAAGTAGTTCTTTCCTTGGAAAATGTCCTGGCCTCTGTAAATATTTAGCAACCAAACAAAGGTTTGTTCTAGAGCTTTTTGCCTAAAATGAGGAGCCAGGTACCCTAATCAGCAAGCTGGCAGGTGTGTGAGGCCTTGGTTTCTATGGACACTCTTCAGTGTTTGATACACATGCCATGAGAACTAGTCTGGCTTGCTTCCTGTTGAATTTTATTCTCTATCGGTGGTGAGATTTTAATCTAACAATCCTCCCTACCCTTTTTAATCACAGGAAATAAGTCTTTAGGATCTTTCTTGAACTGCACAATTTTATGTGAAAATAGAATTCACTATATAGTGATATTTCATTCCCATGGTATTTAAAAGCTGCTGTTTTCATGAATTAGTGTCCTTGACTTGGTGCCTTGAAAAGAGTTTGTAATTTAACATACAGTAGCTAATATAGGTCATCCTGAATTTGTTTATTCTGTCTTTGGTGGAATTTGTAGAGTAGGTGCCCTAACTTAAAATACTAAAATGAACAATCAAGTGTGCGTTTGCTTTCAATAGTTCACTTTTATTCTGCATCCTTAGGAGGCAGTGTTAACTGCAGAAAAGTTACAATGAAAGGGGAGCAGGTGGATTTTTGTTTTGTTTTTTCACTTTTAAAAGTATTTTAATTGAAGAGCCATACATTAATTGTGCATGTTGGTTTTTTAATGCTTCTAAAATCATTTTTACTGTCATAAAAGATCTCACATTCTCAGCCTTGAGCTCTAGACTTTTTAGTTAAATAACACTATAGTAAGATTAATTTGGTTTGCATTGAAAAACAACAAAGAAGTGATATGTCTGATTTTGATTGATTTAAACCTGTTTTCTTAAGTCAGAATTTTACCTTAATATTACTATTACTTCTGATCTGTGATACATGCTTGTTATCTCTAGTGAGAGATTTTTGGAAATAGATTTTTGAAGTGTTGATCATTTTCAATTTCATGAATTGATTCCTGGAGAAAAAACATTTCATTAATGTTGTGAACACAGCATGGAGCCTTGAGCTTAGCTCCCTCTTAACAGTTATAATGTTATCTTCTTTCCTCCCCACATGGTGTTATTGAAATAGTGTGCTTTGATCTGAGATATAGTGATATATCTATTTATCTATATAGCTAGCACTTATCAAGCTACTTCACATAGGTGCATCAACCTTATTGATTCAGCAGACAGCTTTAGACAACTAAAAAAATGGATGGCTAACAGCTATCAAAGTTAACTTTGGATAATTTATTTGCCCTGACCCCAGAGTGTGAATCTGTGATGCTGACCTCTTGATAAGGATAAGTGACTTATCTGTACTAAATAATGAAATCTAGGTGGTGAGAAAATGAAATATGGTAATTAGATATAGGCTTTGGGTTAGCATTCGTTTTCCAGTTTATTGCCTCTCTAACCACCCCCCCCCCCAAGCTTAGTGGCATGAAACAACAGCCATCTTATTACGCTCACAGATTCTGCGGGTCAGGAATTCGGTCAGAACACAGCAGGGATGGCTTGTCTTTGCTCCACAATATCTGGGGCTTAAGCTTGGAAGACTCAAGCCACTGGGTTAGACTCAGATGGCTGGGGGCTGGGATCATCTGAAGGGTTCCACACTCACATGTCACCTGGGCTGGAGTGACTAGAAGGCTGGGCCCAGCTGAGGCTCTTGACTAGAGCACCTTCACATGTCCTTATCATGTGGCATGGGTTCTTCATAGCATGATAACTAGGGTATCCAGAGAGGATGCTTTAGCAAGCAAGTGTTCCAAGGAACCTGCTGCAACCCCGTGACCTTTTCTGATCTGTTATGAGCAGGTGACTAAGGCCAGCCCAGATTGCAGGACATGGGAAATCACACTCCATCTCAAATGGGAGGTGGGTCAAAGAATTTACAACCATTTTAAAAAATTGCCACTACCAGCTTTTAAATAATATATTTTTAAAATTACTCCCTAAAGCTTTTCTTTATTGTTGACACTGTTACAGATGTCCTGTTACTCTCCTTCACCCAGCCACCACCCTCTTCACTAAAATTTTAAATTAGTATGACAAACTTCTGTTGCCTACATTGTTTCTCTGCCAAAATACAGGATAATAAAAATCTAACCAAAAATAGACTTACAAACCATTTTTCATAAAGCCTTTTAACTGATCTTAATTAATTTGGCCTGATTTATTTTATTTTTGAGTGCATTAGGTAATGCTTATTTTTATGGCACCACTGAAAGCATCTTTTTATTGTCCTTGTAGAAAAAGAGCTGTGAACCATGCAAGAACCTCTTTACTATGTCTTAAGGTGGCCTTAAAAAGAGGCATCTCCAATTAATTACCTGAGTGTGATTTTACAATAGAATGACCTGCTTTAAGAGAAAGTTAATCTCTGATGTTCAGGACATGGCATTTCATTGATCTCACAAACGTTGAGTATCTCACTAAATGTTAAGATGGTGTGAATCAGAATCCACAGGAAATGGGCATACAAGCAGATCATTTAAGTGACGTATATACTTGGGGAGTATTGAGGATGCAGGGGATAGTGGGCTGTTGATTAGTCCCAGAGACTAGTGCTGCTTAGAAAAATTGAAGTTTTATTAATCATAACATATGCTGTGTGTTAGCAAGTGGTAAGTACCTTGGGGAAAAGGTAAGCCAGGATGGTGGGCGATCAGGAGTTCTGGGGACCAGTTTGCAATTTTAATTAGGGTGGTCATTGAAAGGGTAGGATTTTAGCAAGGACTTGAAGGTGAAGCTTTAGCCCTGAAAATCCAGGGATAGAAGGCCCTCAGATGGAGGCTACTCTTTCCTGTACTTTGATGCTTTTACTCTGTGTTCAGGAATAGCAAGGAGGCCACTATGGCCAGAGCATAATAGTACAGGTGAGTGAAGTGAGGATAGAGGTTGTGCAGAGTGTAGAAGTTCCAGCAGGGGGCAGTCTTACCTTGTAAAAGTATTAGGTTGATACAAAAACAGACAGTTTTTGGTAATACAAGGATGAGTGTAATAAAATATTAGGATAATGCTGTTTTAGAAAGATGGAGACTTTACCAAAAATGAGCTTTCAGTTAATAGGTAGTATTATTGGGCAGAAACACCAAAAGCCTATTGGTCGGTTGGAGTAGATAGGCTTAGGGATTTCACTGTATATGAGTTATACCAAAGCTGAATGTATGAAAGTTGACTAACGCTTTACTAAATTTTTTCCAAGTATATGTCATCTCCCCTATCAGATTATAAATTCTTTGAGGGCAGGGACCCATGTCTTGCTTCTTCTTTGCATCTTTTCTTTCTTCTTCTTTTTTTGGGGGAGGGGGGGTGGTTATCCTCAATAGAGGATATTCTTGCCATTGATTTTTTTTTTTTTTTTTTGAGAGAGAGTGGAAGGGAGGTGGAGAGACAGAGAGAGAAACTCTGATGTGAGACACACCAATTGGTTCTCTCCCATACTCTGACCTGAGCTAGAGATCCAGCCTCCAACTGAGGTTTATGCACTTGATTGGAATCGAACCCGGAACCCTTCAGTCCGCAGACCGACGCTCTATCCACTGAGCCAAACTGGCCAGGGCTCCTTTGCATCTTAAATAGTGCTTATTTCAAGACCTTAGAGTCAATAATTGACTTCATTGTTCTCAAAATTATTTTCTCTCTTCCCCAAGTAGAATGAAAATTGGGAGTTTTGGCCACCTTTTGTTTCTTCTGTTTAGAGCTGTGTTTGGCACATAGTAGGCATGCAGTAAATACTTGGTGAATGATTAAATGAATAATCTTTTGGTGCCTTGAAGAGAAGCAATATGACTTAGTGACCTATGATTTAGTCCTTTATTATATTCTTAAACTCTGAGAAGTTAAGAACTCTGTACACCTAAAGAGGATAACATTAGTCATTCACTCTTTCAGGATTATTTCTGAATTAAAGCCTCATGTATACTGACCAATGTGACTTAGGAAAAAATATACAATAGATTTATGATTGATAATTTGTTTTTTTAATATAAATGCAATATTTGATTTGATGCTGTTACAGATTTTCTTTTAGTGAGAAAATCTTCGTACTCTTATGATACAGTTGGTTTGGCCTTTACTATCTTAGCCAGGTCCGCTTGTTACCAGAAGCAACTATTTATAAGCTAGGTTTCAGAGCCAGGGAAGCATTTGCTCCATTTTAACTTGTAGATTTTGTATCTCATTAGTGATATAGATATAGAAACTAACCCTTGGAAGAACATTAAAAATCAAATTAGAGAAGCTAAACTTAGTTTTTTATAAAAAGGACTTACAGGTAACTATAAAGCAGGTTAGACTTTAATTAAAATATAAATACTTGCTTGTCATTAAATACTTAAGTTGATTTTAGGGTTGTCTATTAATATCTGTTTTATTTCAAGCAAAGACATGACCTGTGTCAGATTGTAGAATTTATGGCACTATATGTCCTTCACATTTAGTGGCTACTATTCTCTCTCTGTGGGCTTCGTATGATTTTCATCTTTTTGCCCCCAACCAGAGTTAGTGGATCTGAAATAGTTGTTTCGTAATGATAATACTTAATGAGCTATGAAATATAAAGCAAGTCTTTCATTTAAGATGAAGTCAAAACTAAAATATTACTTGAGATCTAGGGGATTAAAAAATGAGAAAATACTTAGCCTTGACACTTGAGAAACTTTCCTTTTTTTAACACAAACGTAGTGAAATAATATTGGTTTTAATTAGTTTCGAGTGTTTAGGGCCAGTTAGAGCTAAGCATTCAAGGTTTAGCTATGGTTATAAACCAGATGTAAATATCAAAAATCTTGACAGTGTAAAAGTAGCCACAAGAAGGCTGGGGATGTCGAAAGTAGGGAGAGAGAGGTGAGGGCGTACAAGTGTGTCAGTTTCTGTCATCATACTTGTTGGAAAGTTAGTAGATACTACCAACTTTATAAATAACACATTTTGAAGTTAAGAAATAGTCTTTAAATTTATGAAGTTATGTAATCAG